ACGACTTTGTGTTCAGAAAAGCCACCAGCCTAAGCCATCAGTCAGGAGAGCAGGGCCGCGGGAGGAACCAGACACCCCTCCTTGCTATATCTCCCGGAATCCATTTTTTTTCATGGCCAGGTCAAACACTTCCTCCTGTCACATGTAAGGAGGGTCTTCACCGTGGAGTCTGGGGCTTACAAAGTATTCCCAACACAGCATCTCAGTACCACTGGGAAGATGGGATAGGAAAGCTCCCTAACACCTTGAGGAATACACTCCTCACACTGGATAACGAAGTCCTCTTTGGCCCGCAATGTCCGAGACCTTCCTGGCCCTCGTACATGTCTGATCTATGGGGTTAGGGTTAGTGATAGTGAATGGGATTAAAAGGGTTACGAAACGAAGTTAGAGAATCACAGTGTTGTATGTTATGAACATATAATAAAACAGGTTGGTATCACACTAACACCCCTGAGGTTCTCTCAGTTATGAGGTAAACCTGAGTGTTTGGGTCTTGGGGAGACCATCCCAAGCGAAGACAATCCATCCCTAGGAGTATGCTGAATGTATAAAGGAAAACACAGCAGGTGTTTGAGCCTGAGCAAAACCACCTTTTTCTATCTTCAGGAACATGAACTGTTTTTCCAGGGCCCCAGGGGGGCTGCCAAGTCTACTTTGGTCCCTGGTCTCCAGTCCAGAACATTCTGCTTTGGGATTTGCACTCAGCTGACAACATAATCACTGAACCCTATCCAGATAGCCTTAGGGATTTCGATAACAGGGCCAGTCTCTTCTTGTTTGTTTGTCAAGAAGATAATTGACCTAAATATGCTCTTTCATTTGTACTAGACCCAGAAGCTCAGAAGGACAGAAAGAAACACAGGTTCAAAAACTTACTCTATGTTCCTACAGTAGGGAGAGGAGAAAACCCCATACATATAACTGTTATGTATGAACTGGGGAAAAGAAACGTTTGCTAATTTTCCTGGCACAAACAACTTATTCTACAAGAGAATCTTCAAATTTGAGTTGCTCAAGTACTTAATGAGCATTACTATTTACCAATTTTAAGTGTGCCAATGCTCGGCACATCTCAAGGACGACCCATCCTTACACTTCTAGGGTAAGGCCACACGGCATCACGGTTAAGCCCATGAACTTGGGTGTCAGGCCAATCTAGGTCCACATCTAGCTCTCCTCCTCACTACCGATGTGACGTTTGGCAGGTTTCTTAGCAGTGTATGCTGCGGTTTCCTCCTTTGTAGAATGAGGATAAAAGTAGTACTTGCTTTGTTGAATTATTAGGAATCCTAAACGCAGAAAGTTATAAAGCAGTAGGCACAATGTCTGAGACATAGCAGGCCCTCAGTGAATGACAACTGTTCTAGAATGGCAGTGCATCCACAGTCATTCACAGAGATAGAGTTACAGCCACACGCAGAGGCTATTTTGTATGTTCACTGATGCATTTGCTTTGTCTACGTATCCCAGCTTCTTGTCGGTTCCTCTTTCTGTCATTAAATGGGGAAAACAATGCCTTCCCTACTGACTTCCGGGGGTTGTATGGAGCCCGACAAAGTCCAGGCACACGTAGAGGCGCTTTAAAAAGCAGGGAGCCCAGCGCAACGCAAACAGGAGTTGAGCCCCAGACAACAACAGGAAGCGGCAGCATCTTGAGATCTTTCTGGCAGCTGTGGGAGGCCTTCGCCAAATAACCCTGAGCGACCTGCCAGGAGCCGCCCCTGAGCGCGCTGGGGCTTCGCTGGCGCAGGAACACGCGTGACTGCAGGAGGGAGGGCGCACTTCCTCCAGGCACCTGTCCTACACAGGATGCTCCATGCACTCACAGTGGCTTCCTGGGAATCCCGCTTCCTGTGCTGTGTTGACAGTCCTGGGCCCCAGAAGCACAAACACTGGACCTCTATAGCTTCACAGTCGTGGAAGCAAACAATGGAGATCATTATTTTGTAAAATAATAAACTGTTTTACTGTAGCTCAAATTTAGTGGGTGCTTGTGTGTGTCACTCTGGCAAACACTTTCGATACGCATCTTCTTATTTAATCCTGGTAAATCAATACTTCCCTAAGACCTGGGCAGGTGGGGCCCTTGCCCCTAAACCACACCTTCCTCAAAAGTATCTGAGTCCCTCTCTAAGGACCAGTTGGGGCCAGCAGTGCTGTGGGAGAGGGGGAGGGCGGGACACTCCAGCCTCCTCTTTGGAGATCTCTCTGAGATCCTTGCAGGGCAGAAGGTTGACCAGATGCCCGGAGGCACTCTAGGACTCTTGTCAATGGGACTATCTCAGGGCCCTGGAGCCAGGTTGCATCCAGGAGGGGAGTTTAATGAACAATCACTTCCTCGGGCTGGTGTGGTATTTCTTTCCCACGATTGAGTAAGGCTGGGCTATTGACACACTGATCTGGAGTGACTCAAATTGTTTATATTGACAAGGATCCCACAAAAAAAAATTTGCTCAGGGACCCATCTACCCTAGGGGCAGACCTGCGAGAGCAATCACATAAGGTATGCATTCTTCTGCTTCCCTTACAGATGGGGAAACGTGACTTAGAGATACTACCTTCCCAAAATAACACATTTAGTAAGTAGAAGAGCTGGCACTTAAATTCTGGAATGTCCAACCCCAAAGCCACACACTGAACTAATCCCCCAGGTTTCCTTATCTGACTCCGCTGAGATATGGATATCTCAGTGATGGTTACTCTTTCTTTACCCAGGACTCTCTTTGATCCTGTTTATTCTCTTGTTCGCTCGTGATTGAAGCTACTGACAAACCATTGTCCAGCACGCTCTCATTCATCCACAATTTACCTGGTCTCCCCTTGACTTCCTGTCTTCTCCTACCAGCCGAACTTATCTCTTTCATGAACATCAACAGCTCATTCCAAAGAGTCTGATTTGAATCGCTTTCAGTAGAAGCATTCAGTAAAGCACCAAAGTCACTCACAATAGAGCGTTAGCTCCAGCAGAAATCCACATTTAGGTTTTTTCCCTAATTGTGGAATAGCCTTTTTTTTTTTCCTCAGTAAGGGGATTTTAGGCATCTGCCAGCATACAAAGCTGGTACTGGAGAGAGGTGCCCTACACTGCAGTAGGCATGGCCAGCTGGTTCGGAACAAAGTTTTTCTAGGTTAGCTTATAAGGAGGCCAGGGAGGCCAGGAGCAGAAGTCATGATTTCTCCATTCCCCCTCCTCGCTTCTCTGATAAGGATGAAGTGGAGGCTGCTGGAGTGTGAGACAGCCAAGGAACTGTCACCATCAGTATGTCATATAGGGATCCTGTCCTGCCCTGGCACTGACCTGCTAGCCAGCCGCTCCCTGTCTCAGTCAGCGCTCAGTACAGCCATATATGAGATGCTACTTCATACCCACTAGGGTGGCTAGAATTAAAAAGTCAGATAGTAACAAGTATTGGCAAGGTTGTGGAGACATTGGAAACTTCATACGCTACTGGTGGGAATGTAAAATGGTGCAGCCACTTGGAAAAAGTCTGAGAGGTCCTCCGAAGGTTACATATTAGGGTTAACATATAATCCAGAAATTCCATTCCTAGGAATTTCTGAGAATTCTGAAACACCCAAGAGAATTGAAAACTTATGTTTATACAAAAACTTGCATATGAATGTTCACAGCAGCAATATTAATAAGAGACAAAAGGTAGAAACAATCCCAATGTCCATTAACTGATGAATGGATAAACAAAATGTGTCCTACCCATCCAATGGAAGGTGATTTAACCATAACAAGG